TCGAGAATGCATGCATAATTCTTCTTTTCTATAACACTAAATGTGTGACACTAATAGCTCCCACAGAATACTAAAGTATAAGTTCCTCAGCCCACCTTGGAGAAGAGTAGCTAGCCAGCCAGATGGCTCCATTGTTTGTCTCCAGATCAAGCCACCAAGTTCCCACTTTTTTATTCCAAACCTCAGTTCTCAATGATGTAGCCCACGGGTGATTGAAGACACTCAGCCTTTGAAAAAGATGAGAGGAGATTAAGTTCCTGCAGGGAAGAGGATGAGAGTCCTATTTGCTACTCAGTGCAAACTTTGAAGCTGAGGCAGTGTAAGTGGGGAGAGACACTGGAGGGAGACTGGAACACAGACACATTAAGGCTCTGGTTGAGAAAGGATAAGTGTGGCTACCCACTTACTTAGAGTAACTGGATTTTTGTGTGTGTGTTTAACATGTCCTTCCACGTTGGCACAAAATTGCATGGTCTTACATTTTGCTTGGCCTGGTTTGGCCGGTTAAGTTTGTCTGAAGCGATCTACAAGCTGGCTTGGGGAAAACCCTCTGAAGTGAGCAGATAGTAAAAATTTTAGTGTGACAATGACAATTGTGGACCTGAAGGCATTTTTAGGAGACCCAGTGCTAAGGGTACACTGTTCTTGCTACACTGTTAATGACCTCAATCTGCAGTTGCTACCATTACTGCCAAGCCCTGGAAAATGTGTTCCCTGTGGCAAACACAAATCAGCATTTCTCTTGCAAAGAGCAGATGGATGAGCAGTATCCTGGGACTCTAGGCAAAGCCTGAGGCATCACATCTGGGAAATTTCCAGTTATTTTTCCTTTCCCTGCTTCCATAATTTAGGGACAGCTTAAAAGAAGCCAGGTAAATACTGACATAACCTAAGTGACCTTTCTGAAAATCATATGATTACACTGCTTTACCGGTAACACTATAAACCAACCTTTTTTTTGTTAATAGAAGCAACTGTTGATACTTCTTGTTTCCCTTCAGTGGAGATAAATGCCTTTGTTTCTCAGCATACTAATTCATACTGAACCCGCCAGAATACTGCAGATAAATCAGCTGGGATTGCAAGAAGAAAGAAGGGCAAGAGCTGATGTTCTGGAGTCCACTGGATTTAGTATGGTAGTCTCTGTCCTGGTTTACATTGTGTGATCTTTCAACATTCATATATACAGTGGGAGACACCCTGGACAAGCTGGTTATGAAAATAATTGGGGTTTTTATCTCACAGTCAACAGCTGCCTGTCTTGGATAGAGAACCACCACTCTCCAAGTGAGCCTTACCTTAAAACAAGCTTTTGTTATTTATGATGTGTCGTTCCTCATCAGATACCATCTAGGTTTCTTTGGGTTACAACAGCTCTGCCAGGCATGTGCTTTTCCTGGGAACTTTGTGCCAGCAGCCCCACAGAAACAGTCTGCATGAAAAATTCATTTGCATCAAATCTCTGCAGCATCTATTTTATCAAAGCAAGTGCTTGTATGCTCAACCAGCATAAGTCACAGATGGGAGGTTTTAGGCAATCAGCTGCAAGATTAGGAAGAAAACCAAACATATATCCTGCTTATGCATTTCTGAATGTTAAAAAAAAAAGAAAAATCCAGTAGCATAGGAACAATAAGAAGCAGGTCACCACTGTCCATCAACTATTCTATCAACTTCAGTAATAGAACATGGATATATTTATCTGGGGTAAGAACACATTGTTATATAGTCTGCTTTGATTAACTCATCACATAAATTCTTTTTTACAGGAATTTTCAAGAGGTATTGAAAGCATTACTAGAATTGTCAAGGCTGGAAGTGTCAGAAACTACAGTGTGGGGAAGCCTCAACTGAACAAGGAAGAGTGTAACAAGTTGAAAAACACTGAATTAAATTATTTTTATTAATTTAACTTTCTTATAGGAAATAAAAACTCCAGTTTGTTCCTAATCCTCCTCTTGCTGATCAGACAAGCATCTTCCCTTTAGAACATTATTTTTATTTCATTTCCTGCTATGATTTCCCCAAGCACCTTTGCCAGTTGGATGTCTCAGGTCAGATGGATTTTCAAGAATGACTGGAGAGCTGATAAACTTAAAGTTTCTTATAGTCTTAGTATTGACTCAATAATTATATATCCCCCACAGATCCAGAAATAAACAGGATTTTTCAGGTGATAGCATACAAAGAAGATTCAAATTGATTTGCACTCCTGTGGATGATGAGAGGGTATCTCACAGACTGAAGAAGAAATAACACTGTTTTAGAGTTCCTAAGAAGCCTATAAAGACTGTAGAAACACCAGAAAGAGCCATTAGACCCTTGCAAGGAAAAGGAATTTTTTGTGTTGTTGTTTCTAATAGACGAAAATAAAAATGAATGAATTTATAAGATGCTTTCAGGTTTTTTCAAATTTCTTCCAGCTCCTAAATGCACTTTTTGTGATGCTTATCTATATTTTAGCATTTTCATTAAACAATTTCCTGTCTTAAAAAATATTTACTTTATGTACAAAATAAATTAAACATACCATAAAGCTGGAAAGGTCTCCTTTTTTTGTTTATATATGAAAATCTAACTATTTTATGTGGTTGTTTTATTACAATACCCATGGAAGCCATACACTGGTTGTTGAATGCTCCCATTCTCCCCTGTGTGTTGTGCTCCCTAGCTGCATTTTCTCTTCCATCATTAAAGATCTTCTCTCACAAGGGATGAAACTGTCACAGTCCCATTATGAGGAAAGGAAAATATGAGCCAACAGGGAAATATTTTGGAATCCAAATATAACTGATTTGAATTAAGTGTTCCATATTCAAGTGTTTTGACAAAACCTTTTTTTGTTTTTTCAAGACAACATAAACAGGCTAAAGCCTCCATAGAACTGAACTCTAAAATTTTGTCAATAATGTACCTGGCAATGTATCAACAGTGTAAAGTATCTATAAACCAGGTGAAGTTTTGTCTACAAGTATGTGAAGTATCTAAAGGGGGGGGTGGGCAAGCCGATGGAGCCAGGCTCTGCTTGGTGGTGTCAAGCAATAGGACAAGAGGCAACAGCTAGAAACTGATGCACAGGAAGCTCCCTCTGGACACAAGGAAGAACTTACTGGCTGTGTGACTGTGCACTGAAATAGGTTGCCCAGAAAGGTTGTGGAGTCTCCCCTAATGGAGATATTCCAGAATCATCTGGACACAATCCTATGCCATGTGCCATGTGCTCCGGGATGGCTCTGAGCAGGGAGCTTGGGTCGGATCACCCCACTGTGATCCTTTCCAACCTGACCCATTGTGTGATTCCATGAATGGTAAACCATGGAACACCGCAGTGTTTGCCCATATAAATGTCATAGGTAAGTGTAGGAGAGATAGAAATCCCCAAATTCAGTCATAATAAACCCTGATATTTTTGTAATATCAGTAATACTACTGAAAAGCTTACTGTTATAACCTAAGTTACAGTAGGTCATATTTAATTTATTCAGGCAGATTCTTTTCTTCCCATAGGAACATCTGTGAGAGGGGCTGATGGAAAGAGACAAGTATCCCATGCCTTATTCTGTTTTCTCCTACTAAACCAAATATGTTTAGCTAAGGTAGGTAAATATCAGCATAGTAAAGCCAGAGAGCCACTGCAGCCAGGGAATGCTAAACTCTTTGCCTTCCCCAGAAAGAGAGCAAACAGGATCTGTGAGGAACAGCAAATGAATGACTCGAATTCTCCTGCATAAAGCAAACATGCCCTCTAAGTATGTCCCACAAGTCTTTTGGGCACTAAAAGCTTTCTTCACCACAGCATTCCAAGTGAAAAAAGGTGTGATACTGCAAAGAGGGTGAATAATGGTAAATCTTGAAGGAATAATGTCGTAATAACCCTACTAAGATTCCTTGCCTCTGTTAGTGCTACAACCACGTGTTCTTAAAAAGACATATTTTTTATTCTCTTGTGGTTTTTAACATATATACTGCTTGTTTCTCCCTTCCCACACGGTTTGGCAGGTAGTTACTTTTTCTTATTTTGTTTCTCTTTCATCTGTCGGTTTTCGGGAACAAGAACTGTGTTTGTGTTTTGAATTTATAGCACGGTAAGAACATATTGAATTTAAAGCCATAATCTAACATAAAGACATTAAATCACCACAAATAATAAAAGGCTGATATAAATTGTCCTAGACTGCATAGCTGTAAATGCAAGAAATATGAGTCAAGATTAAGTTGTAGTGGCATTTTGGCTGTCTCAATATAGACTAAAGAGAGATGGAACACCTGCTCTGATCTTCACAAATTGAATTTCAGCTCCTCAGAAGATTTTGAGTTCTCATTTGCATTAGCAAAGGACACCATTGTTAATGTAAATTGGACATTTATTCACACAGTAGAGTAGAAAATGTGCAATATGCCTGCACACAATTAGTGCGAGCAACTGCTATACCAACAAGAAAACACAAAAGACACCCTAATTACAAGAACCTACTACTAAGTAACTTCCACATCGATGCTATACTTCCCATGCTTCAATATCATGCAGTCAATGACATTATAACACTTATTTTCAGAAACTAATGATAATCCAGTAAGGGGGAAATATTAATTTTTCAGGTACAGAACAGTAGCATGATGACAGTCATATCTCTCACACTGAGACAATGGGAAAAGCAGAGATTGTTTGACTCTGTATTTTTGAAAATAGTTCTGAGAGTCCTTGCACTTCAGCAGACCTGAACTGACATCTTTTCACCATCACAGATCGCTCACTATTCCCTGCCTACAGCAAATCCCTGTTCAAGATCTGTACATATATGTGGTTGTGAATAGGTAGATAAGCCAATCTGAAACATACTAAAATTCCTACAGAGCAATTCATCCTTCTGCTTCAGTTATTCATCCAGAAATAACAAATACATACAGACTTCAAACACATCATGCAGGTCAAAATTGGCAGGGAGGCTCTGATAAGTGAGTGAAGCAGTGAACAATTTTTTTTCCAGAACAAAAGTTACCTTAAGATAACTTCAGAAGTCTTTTTCATATCATCTTGAGATGAGACACATTTCTTTATTCTCAATTTCTTTCTCTGTGGTGGGTCCATTCTGAAGCACAAGCAAAACAGCAGCCCCATCGAGAGAAAAGGAAAAAGAGAGGGAAAGTAAGTGTCTTATTCAAGGAACAGAGATACTTTAACAATGACCAGAGTATCTGTGAATGAATGCTGAAGGCACATTTTTGATCCAAGTTATTTAATCTTATTTAAGAAAGATTGATACAGCTATCAAAGTTATCATATATAATAACTGCCATTTTCATGGAAATAAAGCGTGTTCATGAAGTCATTTGACTCTGACAGTCTTTCTTTACTCATAGTTAAAATGAGTAAGAACTTGTGGTTTAACAATGAAGAGAAGCCTCTCCCCCCCACCACCAGACTATTCTTCTTGAGCACCCCGACAGGTCTACACACACTTTGGTCTTTACACTTCAGCAATAACACAGCTGTTCCCCAAATGTGTTCAACAACTGTTCTCTAATGCCATCAGTTTCATAGTGTAAATGGATCCTAAAATAGCTGGAACATTATGTCCTTTACCATTCTATCTTCCCGCCTGGCTGCCAGATTGTTCTCTTTTCCTTTTTTTGATGGATTAAGTAGAATCACAGCAATTTGTTGATTTGAAAACGAAGCAATCCCTTAAAGTGTCTCTCGCTCATCCACTGCTATCACTGACTCTACCTGAATTCATTTTGGGGCCTGCATTACAAAAGCTTTATTCATGAGGGATTTACATATGCAAGCACTGTTGATGAATCCAATAAAATAGACTGATTTCACATCTAGAGACAACTTTGCAGATTTACTTTTGGTTTAGCTGCTGACATTGGCCCTCTTCACTTTTCTTCTTGCCTGTCTTTTTAGGGGCACAGATTGATTCTGCAAACATTTTATTTGTGAGTGATGTCCTTTCACAAATGCCCCTCTTGGTGGACTGTGCAGGAATGCCAGCAGTTGCTCTAGCTTTGCACTCTTCCAAGTTTTGTCAGCAGCAATGGGGTTCTACTCAAGCACCAGTGGGATTTTTCTTGGAATCAGCAAAGGAAATAGGCCCTATTCCATTGCCAGAAACCAGGACAAAAATTATTTAACAAGAGACTTGACACTAAAAAAGCATTCTTCTCTGTGACTTACAAGCTCTCTTCTGCTCCACTGAGAGGTGTGTGGGACAACAAGCCAGCTGCTAAGATCTGTCTGTGACAGTTCTTCACTCAGGGGGCATAACTACAGCCGTGTTGCACTCTCTCACACGGAAAGATGAAGAAAACACAGGTTTGTTACCCCAGAACCTCAAAATGAAGCAAATCTTGCACTGGGTACAGAAGGGAACATCAGCAAGGTCAGATCACTCTGCCTCTTCCCCTCATTCACCAATAGATGGTGGCAAAGGCCCCCTCCGAAGCTGCCACTGGACTTCCACAGTTATTTTTTCAATTCCTCTCATAACATAGAAAATGGGGAACGCAGATGCAGACATCTCCTTTGCAACAATCACCTATAAACAAGTTAATAATTTTGTCTAACATACCTGTACATAATTACTCCGTTAATGCCAGCTTTCTTTATCTTCAAATATGAACATATTTGTTTCTTTTGTAAAGTAACAGTGGTATTTCACTTTAATTTCACACAAGAGAGCATAGAGAGGAACATCAAAGCAAGCTCTTCTAAAATAGGTTAAGAAATGGTTCTTGCTCCTAAGAACTCAGCACATATCTGCCTCAAAGGGAGGAGGAACTAGAGAAAAAAGAAAATTATTTCAAACTCTTGTTGCAGAATGAAGCATTTTGAAGAGCAGGCTGCTCTTTTCCAAACTGCCAACAGTGAATGGTAACTTCACATCATTTCAAGAGGAAATCACCATCCACCATCCAGAGCTGCCTGCCACTCTTGGCCACCGGCATCAGGCTCAACAGAGTTCTGATGGCTCAGGAGAGCCAAGTATCACAGCCTTGCAAAGCACTCTTTGGCGGCAAAACTAGCAAACACTATTATATTTTGATTGCAAGGCTTTTTAAGCACCATGTTTGTGCTTCAGAGAGTTGTGTGAGAACCCTACCTCCACCTGAGCCAGGAAGAGAGCAGTACAGGTAGAGCATTAAGGGTGGCTGCAAAGCCACTGGCACACGTGGTACAGAAAACAGGAGCTCTGGATGTTTGCAAAACACCTGTCATGATACCACCTGAAGTAAACCAGGTGTGCTGGCCCAACAATACATCACACAGTAATATCCTGCCTATCCTAGCATGACATTGTTTGCACTTCATGATGATATTCACCACCTCATCTCATGAGCCTGTGTGAGGTTGCCAGCAAATGACTGCCACATTCCACATCAGCTCTTGAGAGATGGCCAAGGGTTTTTTAATCTTTAATTTGAGAACAAAGACCTTTGAGTTCCTTGGGATCAAATTGGTTAAAAAAAAAAGAAAAAAGTATTATTTTACTCTATTTGTTGTCAGGTTCACCTCTGAACATACAGTGCTAATTTCTTTTATCATATACCTTTGTAGAGCACTTCACAAAGATTTTTCTGTATTTATATAGTTCACATAGATGCTTTTCAGTTCTTTGCATATTTGCAGTAACTCATCTCCAAGCTGGGAATCTCTGATCAGCTTGTTTGTTTAAGTACCAGCCTGTCAGTGTAAGTAACCCCTTGTGCATCAAGTTTTCCGTCTTGAAAATAACAGTAAAAAAGATATTCATATATTATTTTCCTCCTTGCAAGCACGGTGAAACTTTCCCCAATATTTTGCCAAGCCAATAATCCTTTGATTTTAGTATGGAAGCTTTAAATTAATTTTTCTAAATTATAAACCTTTTCCTCCTGAATTTGAAATGTAGATATACAGAGAATCCAGAAAGAAATTCCTAGTGACCCATGAGGTTCTACTTTTTACCAGGAGACAGAAAAAGCAGCTTTGAACCAGATATCTTTTGTGTTGGATTAGGTAAGCTCCAGACATCCCTTATAACCTATATTATTCTACAAATCTATGACTCTATAATTCATTTACTTATTAGTTTTCACCTCTGGATTATTTATGAGAGAATGATTATATTCCTAAGAAAGAGATAAATTCAAAACAGAGAACGTGGATTAGTTCAATTTCTGTCCTTATCACTCATGAGCTGATATAAACATAAAAACTTATAAAATACTCAGGTTTCTGAAAGGCAATACAGTGCAGGTAATATTACTAGGTAATATTGCTAGGAGATCATCACAGATAACACACAAATCTCCTAACACTGAAAACCTAGACAGTTCTTTTTTTACCTCAGTAAGTTATTCCTGTCTTACTTAGTCTTCAGTGTGAATTTTTTATTGTCCACACAAGTAAGGTGGCATCTGTACTAACTTTAAAGGTGGATGCTCAGCTGTAGGATACATTCCAGTGGCTTCATTTATGCCCTCCAGGACCAGCTTATGCTCTCTGATATCATCATGCCTTTATCTGAGACAAGAGGATGCCAAGAAATTGAACTAGCATTTTTCTATTGCTATTACTATTCTTGCTAGTGCTAGTAGCAGTAGTAGCACAGCAGGTTGGAGGGAATCCAGTTATGTTCCCAGCCACCATCTTGTTTATTCTTCATTGGCTATTATTTTTTAACAGATTTCTGATGATAAAATACATTGCTGAGGTTTTCAATACATATCAAAGTGGGCAATAGTAGCAAAGAAAACTAACAATGGCCCTACCACTAAGGAAAAAATATCAAGTCAGGGTTCAAACAGTTGAGAAAAAAAAAAAAGTTAGGGGGCACTGAACGCTGGTCACCCTTTTTGCCACTGTACTTAAAAGAAATTCCTTGGGAAGTGTGGATTAGGATGGTTTTGGGGACAAATAACACAACAGCCTGAGGGCAAGAGGTGAAAACACACCTTCAGAAGTCAGATGGTTTCCAAAGCCACCAGCTGTGCTCCAGTAAGAGGATATGCAACAAAGACATGTTTTTCACGTGTGTTTCCCACCCAGCAGTGTTATCTGGGTCCAGAATACTGCTTCAATGTAAAAAATTTCTTCAACATCTGCCAGCTGGTTTGGGAGTAGTGGTGGGAGCACCATGGCTTCAGTTCATGTAGGTAGGAAAAGGGGAATGCTTGTTTATCTGCTGAGGTCAGGGCATACAATGGAGGGAGCAGCATTCAGCCTGAAGAGAAATACTGGTAACTTCAGTATACTGAGTATAATTATTTGTAAAATCTCAGCATTTGAAGAAATGCCTATTTAAGTCAATGGGCGTTTTTCATTGACTTCGGTGATAGAAAAAATGGGCCATTAGTGCACTTTTTAAAAGCTCTGCTGAACAAATACATCACTAGGTGGTTCTGGACTTCTTTTATAATGCCTTGCCTTCTCTCTCAAATACTGCATTTATCTCTAGTCTTGTCCTTTACTGCAGCTTGTATTGTAACACTTTCACCTGCATCACAGGAGGAGAAGAATTCTCAGCTCTTATTCTCTTAATCATAACAAAGAATCTGCTCCATTAGTGTTGTCCTCATAGCATTGCAGCTCTGAGCAGTAAGAAACTTTATCAGAGTACACAAAGGTAGATTAGAGAATATCCTCATATTGTATACTTTGTAAGCTTTAAAATAATCCACTTTTTTGCTTTAAAGTTCTTTAAATTAATTAGATTAATTTTTTTGTTACAGAATTTCAGTTACTCTCACTTTGAAGCACAGCAGGGTGAAACAAATGAGCAATAATTATGGATTCATCAAATGAAAAGTTTTTGGAACTTTTCTACTCATGATGGACATTTCCCAGAAGAGAAAGAGAAAAAGAAACAACTTTAAGAGAGTCATCTGCATTATGCCAAACTGCCATTCCATCTAAAAAGGCCTTGTTATTTGATGGCATTATGATTTAATAGCTACAATTAGGTAAAAGTAGATACCATGGAGAAAACACAAAGCACACAGCAGTAATAAAATATAGCAGCTATAAAATACAGCTGTGGCTTATCATTTGCTGCCCACATAGTACAAATTTGTGGGTAACTCCATACATGTTGAGCACCCTGGATTCAATTCACAGAGAAACAGAGCCAAAAAAAGCCACTGTCTGTAGCTTGTCTGGACCAGGAATGCCTCCCACCTGCAATGGCACTGACTTGTTTGCTTTTCAATTTTTAAATTTTTTGTTTACTTGAGATGCAACACCATTGTCTATAGGAGGGAGCAGAGCATGAGCAGACAGGTGAAATGCAGTCTACCCACCTGTCACTGCTGGGCTAGACTAACAAATACAGATTGTTGAAATCTGTTGATTTGCTTGCCATAGCACCACTGGAATAGAAATGCTCCAAACTAAGCAGTCCTTCTGCAGCATCATTCCCCATAACAGCTGGAATTCCTGCAAAGAAAACATTATTATTTCTTATTAGTACACAGAAGAGGTAGTTCAGCATTTCCAGAAGCATCTTGGTTAGTTAAAGGCCTGCGTGCTGGTGAATACCATTTTTACTTGAAACAAAATATGCAGCATTTAAAAGGAAAACCTTTGAACTGAAGAATAATTTGATTTTCAGGAACATTGACAATGCTACTGAAAACAAAATGCTGGAAACGAGAAATTTTCAGATAACTGCCCTTCAGTTCCCCTGTGCTTCGTGAGGCTACAGTGAGTCACAGCACAAAGACCTTAGTGACAAGCAGCACTTGCTGACACAGCGGTATCACGATTCAAAAATATGCAGCACCACATAATTAGAAAATTAATAGCTGCTGGTACTGCTGTGGTGTCTCTATTCAGTGCTAACTGTGTTTCTGCCCCCGTTTCCCGGGGCAGTAGTGGCAGATCAGCAAACAGCTGGAGGAACTGGAGTGGCTCTGCCTCCCAGTTAACTGGATGCTCTCCTTTCCTCACCCAGGATGAACATCAGTGTTGCCATCCTTATGAGCCTGGGAGGACCTAAAGGTCTGGGGAAGAGAGGAAAGGAGAGGAGGGAGAGATCTAACACTTTTGAACCCTGTAATGCAGGCTTCTGGCAGCCTGTGAATCTCTCTTTTGACAAGCCTCAGCTCACCAGTTTTTCCCCCCAACCCTACTAATTCCTAGACTGAAATCAACTGCATTGCAACAATTTGTGGTAGCATAGTCCTTCTATTATCAGTATTATTATAGATTCACTAGGTAGATACTGCCCCTCCCTAAGCCACCTACCCTCTATACCAGTAGGAAATGAACAGAAATGGAGAATGCAGGACTCCAGGAAGGGTGTCAGCAGGTGGGACACATGCAATGCAAAACACCTTTTTTGCTATTAGTGAAAG